GGAGAAGGGCCATGTGTGGAGGAGAAGGACCATGTGGGGAGGAGAAGGACCATGAGGGGAGGAGCAGAAGGACCAGACGTGGAGGAGAAGGACCAGATATGGAGGAGAAGACCACGTGGGGAGGAGAAGGACCAGGTTTGGAGGAGAAGAAGGAGCAGACATGGAGGAGAAGACCACGTGGGGAGGAGAAGGACCATGAGGGGAGGAGAAGGATCATGTGGGGTGGAGAAGAAGTGGTGGGATCTTGAGGGTGGTGGGACCTTGGGGGTCAATGAGACCTTGGGGTGGTGGGACCTTGGGTCAATGAGACCTTGGGGATGGTGGGACCATGGGTCCACGTGCCCCCCCATGACCTCATGGGTGGTGGGTCCCCGTGACCTCGTGGCTGGTGGGACCACGGATCCACGAAGACCTCCAGGATGGTCAAAGAGGACCATGTTTGGAGGAGAAGGACCATGTGGGGAGGAGAAGACCATGTGGGGATGAGAAGAAGGACCAGAGATGGAGGAGAAGACCACATGAGGAGGAGAAGGTGGTGGTGGTGCCCCACGAGTGACCTCACCTTGGTGTGGCCAAACTTGTACTGGTTGTGGTCGATGTCCAAGGACCCCAGGAGCTTCTCGGCCCCTTTGCGGCTGTCGATGAACTGTCCCTCGGGGATGGCCGCCGGGTTCAAGATGCGATACCTGGTGGCCCCACGGAAGGAGATGACAACCCCCCTCCCCACACCGAGGGGTTGTCCACCCCCACCCCCGCCCCACGGCGTGACCCACCGCTGGCGGAAGTCCCCGTAGAGGATGCGGTTGGGGAAGCCCTTGCGGCAGATGCGGATCCCCTCCAAGACCCCGTTGCAACGCAGTTGGTGCATCACCAAAGGGTTGTCCATCACCCCTGGTGGGACAACCAAGAGGGTTAGGGGTCAAGGTCAAGGTCCCCGCCCCACGGATGAGGTCCCGCCCCACGGATGAGGTCCCCACCCGCTTTGGGATGGACTCACCAGGAGACTTGGTCTCGTTGGGGATGATGCAGCGGACGAAGTGGGGGTGGGTGGACCTCAGGTTGGTCATCAGCTTGTTGAGGTTCTCCTGGAAGGGTTGGGTGGGGGAAGAGATGGAGGACGCCCCATCAAACCTGCCCCATCAAACCTGCCCCACGGCGCCCCATAGATCCCTTCTCCCCCCGGCGGAGCCTCACCCGGTGGAGGGCGGACACGGTCTGGAAGGAGGAACCTTTCTTCTTGGCCCCTTTGCCCTTCTCCACGGCTGGGGGAGGAGAAGAAGGACCAGGTTTGGAGGAGAAGACCACGTGGGGAGGAGAAGAAGGACCAGACATGGAGGAGAAGGACCACATGTGGCGGAGAAGGACCATGTGGGGAGGAGAAGGACCAGGTTTGGAGGAGAAGGACCATGTGGGGAGGAGAAGGACCATGTTTGGAGGAGAAGGACCACATGGGGAGGAGAAGACCATGTGGGGAGGAGGAGAAGGACCAGACATGGAGGAGAAGGACCACGAGGGGAGGAGGAGAAGAACCAGGTTTGGAGAAGAAGGACCATGTGGGGAGGAGAAGACCAGGTGGGGAGGAGAAGGACCACATGTGGAGGAGAAGGACCATGTTTGGAGGAGAAGGACCATGTTTGGAGGAGGAGAAGGACCAGACATGGAGGAGAAGGACCAGGTGGGGATGAGAAGAAGGACCAGACATGAAGGAGAAGACCACGTGGGGAGGAGAAGAAAGACCAGATGTGGAGGAGAAGACCACAAGTGGTGGAGAAGGACCATGTGGGGAGGAGAAGGACCATGTGGGGAGGAGAAGAAGGACCAGACGTGGAGGAGAAGACCACATGGGGAGGAGAAGGACCAGGTTTGGAGGAGAAGGACCATGTGGGGAGGAGAAGACCAGGTGGGGAGGAGGAGGACCACATGGGGAGGAGAAGGACCATGGTTGGAGGAGAAGGACCATGTTTGGAGGAGAAGGACCATGTTTGGAGGAGGAGAAGGACCAGACATGGAGGAGAAGGACCAGGTTGGGAGGAGAAGGACCAGGTTTGGAGAAGAAGGACCACGTGGGGAGGAGAAGACCATGTGGGGGAGGAGAAGACCATGTGGGGAGGAGAAGGACCATGTGGGGAGGAGAAGGACCATGTGGGGAGGAAAAGAAGGACCAGACATGAAGGAGAAGGACCGGACATGGAGGAGAAGGACCATGTGGGGAGGAGAAGACCATGTGGGGAGGAGGAGAAGGACCAGGTTGGGAGAAGAAGGACCAGATGGGGAGGAGAAGACCATGTGGGGAGGAGAAGGACCATGTGGGGAGGAGAAGGACCATGTGGGGAGGAGAAGAAGGACCAGACGTGGAGGAGAAGACCACATGGGGAGAAGAAGGACCAGATATGGAGGAGAAGGACCAGACATGGAGGAGAAGACCATGTGGGGAGGAGAAGGACCACGAGGAGAGGAGAAGGACCAGACATGGAGGAGAAGACCACATGAGGAGGAGAAGGACAAGGTGGGGAGGAGAAGACCATGTGAGGAGGAGGAGAAGGACCAGGTTTGGAGGAGAAGAAGGACCAGACATGGAGGAGAAGGACCAGGTTGGGAGGAGAAGGACCAGGTTTGGAGAAGAAGGACCACGTGGGGAGGAGAAGACCATGTGGGGAGGAGAAGGACTAGGTTTGGAGGAGAAGGACCATGTGGGGAGGAGAAGAAGGAGCAGACATGGAGGAGAAGACCATGGTGGGAGGAGAAGGACAAGGTGGGGAGGAGAAGACCATGTGAGGAGGAGGAGAAGGACCAGGTTTGGAGGAGAAGAAGGACCAGACATGGAGGAGAAGGACCAGGTTGGGAGGAGAAGGACCAGGTTTGGAGAAGAAGGACCACGTGGGGAGGAGAAGACCATGTGGGGAGGAGAAGGACTAGGTTTGGAGGAGAAGGACCATGTGGGGAGGAGAAGAAGGAGCAGACATGGAGGAGAAGACCATGGTGGGAGGAGAAGGACAAGGTGGGGAGGAGAAGACCATGTGAGGAGGAGGAGAAGGACCAGGTTTGGAGGAGAAGAAGGACCAGACATGGAGGAGAAGGACCAGGTTGGAAGGAGAAGAACCAGGTTTGGAGAAGAAGGACCACGTGGGGAGGAGAAGAAGGACCAGATGTGGAGGAGAAGGACCACATGGGGAGGAGAAGAAGGACCAGACATGGAGGAGAAGACCATGTGGGGAGGAGAAGGATCAGGTTTCGTTGGGGATGATGCAGCGGACGAAGTGGGGGTGGGTGGACCTCAGGTTGGTCATCAGCTTGTTGAGGTTCTCCTGGAAGGGTTGGGTGGGGGAAGAGATGGAGGACGCCCCATCAAACCTGCCCCATCAAACCTGCCCCACGGCGCCCCATAGATCCCCTCCCCCCATCACGGAGCCTCACCCGGTGGAGGGCGGAGACCGTCTGGAAGGAGGAACCTTTCTTCTTGGCCCCTTTGCCCTTCTCCACGGCTGGGGGAGGAGAAGAAGGACCACGTTGGGAGGAGAAGACCACATGTGGAGAAGGACCATGTGGGGAGGAGAAGGACCAGGTTTGGAGGAGAAGGACCATGTGGGGAGGAGAAGGACCATGTGGGGAGGAGAAGGACCAGGTGGGGATGAGAAGAAGGACCAGACATGAAGGAGAAGACCACGTGGGGAGGAGAAGAAAGACCAGATGTGGAGGAGAAGACCACAAGTGGTGGAGAAGGACCATGTGGGGAGGAGAAGGACCATGTGGGGAGGAGAAGAAGGACCAGAGGTGGAGGAGAAGACCATGTGAGGAGGAGAAGGACCAGGTTTGGAGGAGAAGGACCAGGTTTGGAGGAGAAGAAGGAGCAGACATGGAGGAGAAGACCACGTGGGGAGGAGAAGGACCACGAGGGGAGGAGAAGAAGGACCAGACGTGGAGGAGAAGGCCACATGTGGAGGAGAAGAAGGACCATGTGGGGAGGAGAAGAAGGACCAGACATGGAGGAGAAGGACCAGACATGGAGGAGAAGGACCACGAGGGGAGGAGGAGAAGAAGAAGGACCAAGAGTGGACAAAAAGGACCATGTGGGGAGGAGAAGAAGGACCAGATATGGAGGAGAAGACCAGGTTTGGAGGAGAAGGACCACGTGGTGAGGAGAAGGACCATGTGGGGAGGAGAAGACCATGTGGGGAGGAGAAGGACCAGGTTTGGAGGAGAAGAAGGACCAGACATGGAGGAGAAGACCATGTGGAGAGGAGAAGGACCAGGTTTGGAGGAGAAGGACCATGTTTGGAGGAGAAGGACCATGTGGGGAGGAGAAGACCATGTGGGGAGGAGGAGAAGGACCAGGTTTGGAGGAGAAGGACCATGTGGGGAGGAGAAGGACCATGTGGGGAGGAGCAGAAGGACCAGACATGGAGGAGAAGGATCACGTGGAGAAGAAGGAGAAGAAGAAGGACCAAGAGTGGACAAAAAGGACCATGTGGGGAGGAGCAGAAGGACCAGACATGGAGGAGAAGACCACAAGTGGTGGAGAAGGAGCAGATTTGGAGGAGAAGGACCACATGGGGAGGAGAAGGACCACGTGGGGAGGAGAAGGACCACGTGGGGAGGAGAAGGACCATGGTGGGAGGAGAAGGACCACAAGGGGAGGAGAAGGACCACGTGGGGAGGAGAAGGACCACACGTGGAGGAGAAGGACCCTCTTACGCGCGTCGGCCCCGGCGTAGTTGGCGAAGAGGTTGGCCAAGAGCTTGAGGGCCGACTTCTGGTAGAGGCCCACCACCGTCTCGTTGAGGGGGTCCTTGTTCTTCTGAAGCCACCCCAGGATGTTGTAGTCCACCGTCCCCGCGTAGTGGACCAGGGCGAAGTGGGCCTCGGGCTTCCCTTTGATGTTACGGGGCTTCCCAAAGTTGGCCGACTTGCCCAAGTGGTTGTCGAAGAGTTTGGCCTTGAAGGTCATGTCGGTGGCCTTGGGGAACATGCACTCCTCCTCCAAGATGGACATGATGCCCATGGGCTGGGGAGGAGAAGACCTGCTCGGTCCCGGTGGTCTCTTTTGGTGGATCTCAACCGGAGGTGGAGGTGAAGCTCCACTCGGAGCTTCTCCTGGGGCTTCCAGTTGAGGTAAAACCCAACAGGAGCTTCTCCAAGACCTTCCAGTTGAGTTGAAGCCCAACTGGAGCTTCTCCAGGAGCCTGGAGCTTCTCTAGGAGCTTCTCCAGGAGCTTCCAGTTGAGTTGAAGCCCAACAAGAGCTTCTCCAAGACCTTCCAGTTGAGGTTGAGCCCAACAGGAACTTCTCCTGGAGCTTCCACTTGAGGTGAAACCCAACTGGAGCTTCTCCTGGGGCTTCCAGTTGAGGTTGAGCCCAAATGGAGCTTCTCCAGGAGCCTGGAGCTTCTCCTGGAGCTTCTTCAGGAGCTTCCAGTTGAGGTTGAGCCCAACTGGAGCTTCTCCAGGAGCTTCCAGTTCAGTTGAAGCTCAACTGGAGCTTCTCCAGGAGCCTGGAGCTTCTCCTGGAGCTTCCAGTTGAGGCTGAGCCCAACTGGAGCTTCTCCAGGAGCTTCCAGTTGAGGTGAAACCCAACCAGAGCTTCTCCAGGAGCCTGGGATTTCTCATGGAGCTTCCAGTTGAGTTGAAGCTCAACTGGAGCTTCTCCAAGAGCTTCCAGTTGAGATTGAGCCCAACTGGAGCTTCTCTAGGAGCTTCCAGTTGAGGTGAAGCCCAACAGGAGCTTCTCCAGGAGCTTCCAATTGAGGTTGAGCCCAACTGGAGCTTCTCCAAGAGCTTCCAGTTGAGTTGAAACCCAACAGGAGCTTCTCCAGGAGCTTCCAGTTGAGGTTCAGCCCAACAGGAGCTTCTCCAGGAGCTTCCAGTTGAGTTGAAGCCCAACTGGAGCTTCTCCTGGAGCTTCCAGTTGAGGTTGAGCCCAACTGGAGCTTCTCCAGGAGCCTGGAGCTTCTCCTGGATCTTCTCCAGGAGCCTGGAGTTTCTCTAGGAGCTTCTCCAGGAGCTTCCAGTTGAGGTGAAACCCAACCAGAGCTTCTCCAGGAGCCTGGGATTTCTCATGGAGCTTCCAGTTGAGTTGAAGTTCAACTGGAGCTTCTCCAAGAGCTTCCAGTTGAGTTGAAGCTCAACTGGAGCTTCTCCAAGAGCTTCCAGTTGAGATTGAGCCCAACTGGAGCTTCTCTAGGAGCTTCCAGTTGAGGTGAAGCCCAACAGGAGCTTCTCCAGGAGCTTCCAATTGAGGTTGAGCCCAACTGGAGCTTCTCCAAGAGCTTCCAGTTGAGTTGAAACCCAACAGGAGCTTCTCCAGGAGCTTCCAGTTGAGGTTCAGCCCAACAGGAGCTTCTCCAGGAGCTTCCAGTTGAGTTGAAGCCCAACTGGAGCTTCTCCTGGAGCTTCCAGTTGAGGTTGAGCCCAACTGGAGCTTCTCCAGGAGCCTGGAGCTTCTCCTGGAGCTTCTTCAGGAGCTTCCAGTTGAGGTTGAGCCCAACTGGAGCTTCTCCAGGAGCCTGGAGCTTCTCCTGGAGCTTCCAGTTGAGGTGAAACCCAACTGGAACTTCTCCAGGAGCCTGGAGGTTCTCCTGGAGCTTCTCCAGGAGTTTCTAGTTGAGGTTGAACCCAACTGGAGCTTCTCCAGGAGCTTCCAGTTCAGTTGAAGCTCAACTGGAACTTCTCCGGGAGCTTCTTCAGGAGCTTCCAGTTGAGGTTGAGCCCAACAGGAGCTTCTTCAGGAGCTTCCAGTTGAGGTTGAGCCCAACTGGAGCTTCTCCAGGAGCCTGGAGCTTCTCCTGGAGCTTCCAGTTGAGGTGAAACCCAACTGGAACTTCTCCAGGAGCCTGGAGGTTCTCCTGGAGCTTCTCCAGGAGTTTCTAGTTGAGGTTGAACCCAACTGGAGCTTCTCCAGGAGCTTCCAGTTCAGTTGAAGCTCAACTGGAACTTCTCCGGGAGCTTCTTCAGGAGCTTCCAGTTGAGGTTGAGCCCAACAGGAGCTTCTCCAGGAGCTTCCAGTTGAGGTTGAGCCCAACTGGAGCTTCTCCAGGAGCTTCCAGTTGAGGTGAAACCCAACAGGAGCTTCTCCAGGAGCCTGGAGTTTCTCCTGGAGCTTCTCCAGGAGCTTCCAGTTGAGTTGAAGCTCAACAGGAACTTCTCCAGGAGCTTCCAGTTCAGTTGAAGCTCAACTGGAGCTTCTCCAGGAGCCTGGAGCTTCTCTAGGAGCTTCTCCAAGAGTTTCCAGTTGAGGTTGAGCCCAACAGAAGCTTCTCCAGGAGCTTCCAGTTGAGGTTGAGCCCAACTGGAGCTTCTCCAGGAACCTGGAGCTTCTCCTGGGGCTTCCAGTTGAGTTGAAGCTCAACAGGAGCTTCTCCAGGAGGACTGGACAAGGTGAACCTCAACTGAGGCTTCTCCAGGAGCTTCTCCAGAAGCCCTGGTTGAGGTGAAGCCCAACTGGAGCTTCTCCAGGAGCTTCCAGTTGAGGTTGAGCCCAACTGGAGCTTCTCCAGGAGCCTGGAGCTTCTCCTGGAGCTTCTCCAGGAGCTTCCAGTTGAGGTTGAGCCCAACTGGAGCTTCTCCAGGAGCTTCCAGTTCAGTTGAAGCTCAACTGGAGCTTCTCCAGGAGCCTGGAGCTTCTCCTGGAGCTTTCAGTTGAGGCTGAGCCCAACTGGAGCTTCTCCAGGAGCTTCCAGTTGAGGTGAAACCCAACCAGAGCTTCTCCAGGAGCCTGGGATTTCTCATGGAGCTTCCAGTTGAGTTGAAGTTCAACTGGAGCTTCTCCAAGAGCTTCCAGTTGAGTTGAAGCTCAACTGGAGCTTCTCCAAGAGCTTCCAGTTGAGATTGAGCCCAACTGGAGCTTCTCTAGGAGCTTCCAGTTGAGGTGAAGCCCAACAGGAGCTTCTCCAGGAGCTTCCAGTTGAGGTTGAGCCCAACAGGAGCTTCTCCAGGAGCTTCCAGATGAGGTGAAACCCAACAGGAGCTTCTCCAGGAGCTTCCAGTTGAGGTGAAACCCAACTGGAGCTTCTCCAGGAGCTTCCAGTTGAGGTTGAGCCCAACTGGAGCTTCTCCAGGAGCCTGGAGCTTCTCCAGGAGCTTCTCCAGGAGCTTCCAGTTGAGTTGAAGCCCAACTGGAGCTTCTCCAGGAGCCTGGAGATTCTCTAGGAGCTTCCAGTTGAGGTGAAACCCAACAGGAGCTTCTCCAGGAGCTTCCAGATGAGGTGAAACCCAACAGGAGCTTCTCCTGGAGCTTCCAGTTGAGTTGAAGCCCAACTGGAGCTTCTCCAGGAGCCTGGAGCTTCTCCAGGAGCTTCTCCAGGAGCTTCCAGTTGAGGTGAACCTCAACTGGAGCTTCTCCAGGAGCCTGGAGCTTCTCCTGGAGCTTCTTCAGGAGCTTCCAGTTGAGTTGAAGCTCAACGGGAGCTTCTCCAGGAGCCTGGAGCTTCTCTAGGAGCTTCTCCAGGAGCTTCCAGTTGAGGTGAAGCTCAACAGGAGCTTCTCCAGGAGCTTCCAGTTCAGTTGAAGCTCAACTGGAGCTTCTCCTGGAGCTTCTTCAGGAGCTTCCAGTTGAGGTTGAGCCCAACTGGAGCTTCTCTAGGAGCTTCTCCAGGAGCTTCCAGTTGAGGTTGAGCCCTACTGGAGCTTCTCCAAGAGCTCTGGTTGAGGTGAAACCCAACAGGAACTTCTC